GTATATATATATATATATATATATATATATATATATATATATATATATATTGCATATATATATATATATTTGCGCTTGTGCGCACATAATATAATGGTGTTTACTACGAAGACCTCCACTGTATCTTCTGGCTGGTGTCTGTCTCTCTATTCAGATGTCTCCTTTCTCTCTCTCTCTGCTCAGGTGTCTCCTCTTCTGCTGTGGGGGCCCCCGCACAGTAGAAGACCCCACAGAGACATTCTAAACCCTAAACCCTAAACCCTAAACGCAGGAAGATAGGGGGGGGCCCAAAGCCAGAGCAATTCGCTGTGCACTGTCAACACGCCGCCGCAAACCCTAAACCCTAAACCCTAAACCCTCAGCCTTGCGCAGAGTGTCTTCACACCCCATTGAAGGAATGCTGCTCGCCTTAAACCCTAAACCCTCACTCCAAACCCTAAACCCTAATCCGTGCGGCCCTCATCTAAACCGTCGTCAACGTACTAAACCCTAACCCTAAACCCTCACTCCAAACCCTAAACCCTAATCCGTGCGGGACATTAAACAAACCCCTTATTGTCTTTAGGCTCAGACGCAGATTTGCTGCAGGGATCCCTCCTCTTAAACCCATTAAAAGGAGACAGCAAAAGGAGACACCACGAGGAGACAACAGGAGACAGAGACAGCAGCAGAGACAGCTCGAAGAGACAGCCAGAGGAGACACCCGTAGCAGACCGATCCTTACACTTAGAGAGTCACCATAGAACAGGGGGCCCCCCACAGGGGGCCCCTTAATAAGTGAAAGGGGGGCCCCCCTCTTCGTTTTCCTTCTCTTTTTTAATGATGCCGCTTCTCATAACATATTAATGAAGAGTCTCCTCGCCCGCTCTCTCTTGCACTCTCTCTTTATCAGTCTCGGCCCTCCTCTCTCTCTCTCTGTGTGTGTGTCTCTGTCTCTCTGTGTCTCTCTGTGTCTCTGTCTCTGTCTCTGTCTCTCTGTGCGTCTCCTTTGTCTCCCCCCCCCTCTCTCTCTCTCTGTCTCTCCGCTCTCCCTGTCTCCTTTCCTCTGTCTCTCTTTCATTTTTTTTTGTCTCTTTTTCTTTGTTCCCTCTCAGGTTCGAGTGTCTCTATATTTCTGTCTCTCTGTCCCTCTTTTGTCTCTCTTTTCTCGCTCTCTTCCTCATCACCTCCGCTCCCATATTTCGCTCTCTCTCTCTCTCGCTCTCTCTCTCTCTCTCTCTCTCTCTCTCTCGCTCTCTGTCTCTTTCTCTCTCTCTCTCTCTGTCTCTCTCTCTCTGTCTCACACTCTCTCTGCATCTCTCTGTGTGTCTCTCTCACCCTCGCTCTCTCTCTCTCACCGTCTCTCTCTCTCTCTCTCTGCATCTCTCTGTCTCTCTCTCTCTCTCTGTGTCTCTCTCTGTCTCTGTCTCTGTCTCTGCGTTTATGCCGCGTGTCTCTTTCTCTGTCCCCACCCACCCAATCTCTGCGCCAGAAAGGCCCCGACTACCTCCAAATATATATATATATTATATATATATATTTTGTATATACACTTGAATGTTTATTTGAGTAAACAACAGGGTAGAAAGACGGAAAGAGACAGACAGGGGCCCTTAACATCAGCATAAGAGAGCAGAAGATATATATATATATAATATATATATATATATATTATATATATATTCTCTTTTAATTTAATGCATTAAAATAAATGCAAACAAAACAAACAAACTCTCTACCTTCTTCTCTCTCATTACCCCCGTCTTGTTATTTATTATATTTATTTTTTATTCATCACCTCTCAATATGCTGCACTCCTGTGGACGTCAGCTCGCGACTGTACGTGCAGCACATTCTTATATATATTTATAAATATAAATATAAATATATATATATAAATATATATGTATGTATATGTATGTATATGTATATATGTATATGTATGAATATGTTATGTGTACAAGATAGATATGTATATGTATTGCTGTAAGACAACTCCTGCATCTGTATATATAAATAATGCATGTGTATAGATGTAAATATATAAATAGATAATAAATACATATAAATATATATATTAAATATATATAAATATATATATATGTACAAGGCCGGTATAAAATATACAGTATAAATATAAAGAAAGAAACAAACAGACAGCAGAAACATAACCTCGGCTCGTGGGGTGTACATACACCTCAATGGGCCCCACAGCAGCACAGCGAGATGCAGCCCTTTTGTCTGTCTCCTTCTCTGTCTCTGTCTCTTTCTTTTTGTGTTGCTATCCCTAAGCTCATAACGAAAAGAAGCGGACCCCAAGCAACAGCAGAAGCTGCTGCTGCTGCTTCTGCTGCTGCTTCTGCTGCTGCGCTCGCCAGCACCGATGCGTATAAACAAACTCCTATCTCGATAAGCAAAAGAAAATAACAGAGGTTAATAATGCATGCATGCAACAAAGAGAACCCGCCTAACCCTCAGCAATAAACTCAGCAGCAAAAGCTTAAGTCACCTACGCTGCTCTTATCTTTTTCGTTCGTTTGTTTGTTTTAACTCTTTTCTTTTGCTTCTGTACAACCTGAGAAGCCTCCTCCGACCTGTCCCTCTTTGCAGTGTACATACACCTCGCGGAGCAGCAGCTAGCAGCAGCTAGCAGCAGCTAGCAGCAGCAGCAGCAGCAGCAGCAGTAACAGTAATTGAAAATATCTCTCTTCTTTTATCTTAAGGCTGCAGCAGCCGCGCCTGAGTAAGCATTACTGCAATACTATTAGCAGCAGGAGACCCTGTAAACATCAACACCATTTGCTGCTGCTGGGGGCCTCCATTAGGGGGGCCCTGAGCGCTGCTAAAGCAGCGTACATGACAGCCTGTTACCTCGCTGATCCTATCGAGAGCATTGGGGGCCCCTGCTGCTGCATTAGGGGGCCCCCCGTACCTGCCGTTGCTAAGACTGTCTCTGCGCAGCAAAGCCTCTCCTTGCTCAACAGACAGCAGCAATCTTATTGTCTGTCTTTCTCCTAGAGCCCCCAAATCTTGTACCTGGCCGACACGAGCACAGAAGCCTCTAAGAAAACCCTCTAGCTGCTCCATTGAGGGGGCCCCTGCATCATGAGGCCCTGAGGGGGGCCCCCACCCTCCTGCTGCTGCTGCTGCTGCTGCTGCTGCATCATCTGGGCTACCCCAAGGTCGTTGGCCTCCGCTCATAGGGTCTTGCTGAGGGGGCCCCCAGGGGGCCCCCCCTGTAGGTGAGGCCCCATCATAATAGGGGGCCCCACCTTCAGGGGCTCCGAACTGCTGCTGCTGCTGCTGCTGCTGCTGAATTCTGGCTGGAGGAGGAGGCAGCATAATCTTGCTCGTATCATAGCCTTGCTGCTGCAGATCTTCTGCTAAAGATGAGGGACAGATAAGGGGGGCCCCGTCTCTAGACAGCTCTTGATACTCTACGCTGAGAATACGCTGCCAGACAAGAGCTAGAGCAACAAGTCTTGCTGCAGAAGGGCCCTCAAAAGAGATAACTCTGTGCTGCTCGCGAGGAGACAGCATCTTGTTGTTGCTGCCTGGTCCTTGCTGCTGCTGCTGCTGCTGGTCGCCCCATGTGGGAGCACCACCCTGGGGGCCCCCTTGAGAACCACCCTCAGGGCCCCCTAGGGTCTTAGATATTTGAATGAGAGCACCTGACTTCTGCTGCATATCTCTTATAACTGTGCCCTTGCTGCCTATCAAAGGGCTAACAAAACGAGAGGGTATAAGCAGCCTCAGCGGCTGATGCTGCTGCTGCAGCTTCTCCTGCAGCGGAAGCCCCAAGCGCAGCACAGCCCCGCAGACAGATTGTAGGGGCCCTGAAACCATACAGAATCTCTCTCCTCCATCAGAGCCTTCAGAGGGGCCCCCAGAGGGGCCCCCCCCTTGGGGCCCTCTTAATAGTGCTCTTGCATCTTCACCTGTAAACCCTGATACTTCATCTAACACCTGCACTTGAGCCCCTGTCTCCTCTCTAACTGCTCTAACATGAGAGCCCTGCGGCCCCACAACCCAAGCAGCAAGTCTCTGAGGTATAACAAAGCATAAGACAGAGGTGCAGCTGAGGCCCCCGCAGCTCTCAACGCTTGCTACAAATCTATAGCCGCTGCCCCCCTGAACCCCTGGGCTGGGGGCCCCCTGGGGGCCCCCCCCTCCACCTGTGGGGCCCCACGAGGGGCCCCCTACTCCAAAGAAGCCGCCCGGTCCTGCTGGTGATGCACCACCCACAGGGAGGCCCCCTGGGAGGGGGCCCCCAGGTAGGGCCCCCATCGCTCCTCTGGGGCCCCTAAGAGCTTTTGGTTGAGCAGTAGAAGAAATAGTAATAAGGTAATCAAAGTCTTGCTTCGAGAGTCTGCCTGAAGCAAGCATTTGCTGCAGCTGCTGCAGCACAAGCTGCACTGCTGCCGCAACATGCTCATCCATCTGACCCGTTATACAAAGGGCCCTATCTCCGCTTGCTGCTGCTACACCAGGAACAACTCGAATCTGTGTCTGTGTCTTCTGGCTGAGCTCTTCAATCGCTCTACCCCTCTGTCCTACAATACCCCCGACGCTGCGATGAGGGACGAGCAGCAAAGCTGCTGACTTGCCGCTATGAGAAGGGTGAGATGATATTAGCTGCAAGACTTTTACAAGCCCTGCATGCACTTCTTCTTCCTTCTGTCCCCCTATAGCAACTATCTTTGCTACATCAAGAGCCTGGTCTTGAGGGGGGGGCCCCACTGTCTCTAACATCGCTTGTTTTGCTGCAGCAAGCTCGTGAGGGCCCAGAGCATTGCGCTGCACGAAAATTCGTGCCCCTGTTGAGCGCTCAAGGTCTCTTACAGTAGCACCTCCTTTACCTATGAGGGCCCCTGCTATATTATCAGAAACTAATAGACATACAGGCAGCACCCGAGGCCCCTGAGACCCCTCCATAGGGGCACCCTCATCTCCTTCACCCCCTAAACCACTAGGAGATAAGCGCTGACGCTTAGGACCTCCATATACACCTGGTGAGCCCCCTTGAGCTACTGCACCGTTGCTACCTAGCGCAGGGTGGGCGGCCCCGGGAGCAGATAGAGAGCCCTGGGGCCCCTCTTGTCTTCTTTTAAATGAATCCATCTTGAATTGATTAAAGTATTTGTTTATTTATTCAAGATATTTAAAAATAAACCCAGAAAACAACAAACAAACAAAGCTGAAAAGAGCGGTAGTGTTCACTGAGGCTGGCGCTGCTGCCCCCCCTTGGCTCTATGAGAGCCTACAAAGCAGACAAAGAAAATTATAATATAAACAAATAAAGAATAATTAAATATATTAAAAGAATAAATTCTTTTACTCCTAAAGTCCAAAATAAACGGAGAACGAAACAACAAAACGATCTGCTGCTGCTGCCGCTGCTGCTGCTGTTGCGCGCAGCAGCAGCATTGCAGAGCAGCGGGGCTAACAACCCCTTGGGGCTTCTTGAGGTATATCTTTATAAAAGAAAACAAAAAATTAATTTTTTTAGATTATTATTTTATTTAATATAAACGTATTGATGCTCTCTAGCTGCAGAGTACCGTAGGAATTCAAAAGTATACGTATACACCCCCTTTCTTTAGTAGGGCGTGGCCGCTGCTACAGTGCACAGCACTCTTATCTAAGGGCCCCCAGCTCCTTTCTAAATAGCTATTTTAAATCTCTTAAAGATATTATAGCTTTTCTGAGGTTGTAGGGAGCCATAGGGGGCCTCAAGAGGGCCAGTGGGGCCCTCTGGGGGAGCGGGAGTCGCTTTATATATGTCTTGCCTTTACTCTTTGAAGTTGCGAGTATATTCAAAGCCTAAGGGGGCACTATGCATGCATGGCATGCAAACAGAAGCAGAACAATTATGTACACGGTTACTGCAGACACCAGAAGGGGAGGTTGTAGCGCTCGCATGCACGCGTTCATACCGCCTTCAGATAAAGTAAGCTGCACTGTACACTGTAACCTATTCTCTTACTTCTTTCTCTCTTTTAGCCCCACACCCTTAGACCTACAGGCCATTGGGCTGCGAATGTGTGAGGAATGGAGGTGCGGTCTGCTGCTATCTATGTATCTATACCTTCATTTATATGTATATATATATCTGTATATATATGTATATATACATATATATATATATATACATATATATATATATATATATCTGCATGTATATCTATATCTACATCTATATCTATGTATAGATTTTTGTATATGTATGTAATATATATGTATATATAGATGTTTCCTAATAACACATTTTATCTCGACTGCAGCTTACGGTGGTCTAAGCACAAGACTGAGGAGTCTCTCGTTCCTCCCTGTCTGCTCGTATAGCAGTGGGGTGTACAGTATCTGTCTATAGCAGCGTTATTGTATTTGGTATTGTATTTTGTAGCAACAGGAGTCAGTAAATTGCTGAACAGCTGCTATTGCCTTCGTGAATCAGCGGGAAAGGGGGTTATTGAAGCATGCATGCGTGGGGCTGAACTAGAAACAGGAGGTGCAGCAGAAAGCCCTGTAATTCTTGATTGACAAACTCTTCCCCGCATCATACTCAGACCCCTGTGGTGCTGTGCAGATAATCATTGTAAGAAAGGGGGGCCCTCAGCTTCTGTTGGGGGATACAGCACTCTCGGGCTGTAGTTAGCTCATGTCTGTACTCTTGCCACAAGGTTGGATACTCAGAGCCATGTATATATATATATATATATACATGCATCTACATGCATATATATGTATATATATATATATATATATACATATATATACGT